ACCAGGAGATCCCGCCCCGTGTCGCTAGAATGACAGCCAGAAGACGCTCCGCGATGGGACGGGAGTAGCCCTTCAGCTTTTGACCGGAACCGGCTATGTGCCCTTGGTGTTCTACTCAAGGGGCCCCTTGCCCGGAAGGAAATAATGGGCCTTATTATTGTGAGTATAGTGGTCTCATTATTATTGAATAGAGTAGGTCGAAATGATTTTTAAAAAAAACAACAAGGCCATCTCATGTTTGCCTGAGACCGTTCATTTTTTTCCAGAATGGATAAGTGAAAAAGTGCATCAAAAGGTTTGAACATGCCCGCCCGCAACCTAGAGAGCAAGAACAGCGATCGTCCGGGTTGCAGCTTCCGTAAAACCGAACAGCGTTAACCACAGCAAGTGTCACCAGACGGCAGACGCCGTAGTAATCTGTCTTCTGGGCAGATTAGTTGCTTACAGAAACACGAAAAATAGAGAATCTACCTTTACTCTTCCAGTTCCACCACCAGATTCCAGCACCACTGCGCGGAGTTTTACGGGCCAATTTGCTCTTATCATCAGTCTAAAAATCGCACACGTGAAACCTGCGCCCAGACTGCTTTGAGCATGTAACATTTGACGTCCTGAAGCGTTCAAAGGTACTTTTTTTAGACTCGTCTTCATTTTCGTCCATCCGTTGGCCAGGGCTCAATATCAGGTGTTCAGCCGACGCTGCGAGGCCTACGGAGACTGCAACGCATGGCGTCGAGGTTTTTTTAAAACAAGATTTGCTAGTACGCATGCTCAAAATTATGTCACATAGCCTTTATTAGTAACCAATTCAAGTGCCTTGCAGGTAATTATTTCAGAATCGTTATCATTTTCGTCCACCGGTGGACCATGACGAAAAGTCAACCACTGAGCCAACGCTCCTGCGGACCACGGAGACTGCAACGCCTGGTGTCGAGGTTTTTGTTGCTAAGATTTGCGAGCACGCATGCTAAAAAACACGTTCTTTAAGTTGTATCATTGATCGCTTCTGACTAAATATTTTACATTTCCAGACCAACATGGTTTGCCGATGTTAATACACATTGCTGACCACTCGATCTGCAAGCGAAATTTTCACCCTCAAATTTTGACAAAACATATCGATCTACAATCTACCTTCGCGATGTCCTCAATGTCTGTAGAGCGCAGATAAAACATTATGGAAAAGCTTCTGAGTTCTATCGGTTTAGAAGGGGTCCACTAAGCCATTGCAAATTAAGGACACCAGTGATGTATTCTATACGGTCGTTAAACGCCTGATTTCTGCATTTTATTAACCTTAACACGCGCTCGGGTGGGGGGTCAAACTGACTCGCCCCCGAAGGTTTTTCAGAATTGTTTCCGAACGGCCACGCAGCCACGCCATATATTGCACAGCTGTAGACGATTGAATAGTGGATCGCTTGGCATCAAAAGCTGAGATTTACTTTACAAGGCCGCTGACCTATGGCAGGCCAAAATCAGGCCATGGTTTCAGCGAAGTCGACTTCTAGGGAGTCGTTCAATCTGATGCAACAATGGAATGTTAGACGAAGCCATACATCTCTGAGATGCTTTCTTAGGCAACACACATATTTCATGAACAAATTACGTTGACCTAAGGTCAGATATAAAGGTCAGACCAAGGTCAAAACCAACCTGTTCTATTACTTTAGGGCTTGCTGTATAGGATAGTCTCTGGTGCTCATTTCGAATCTATCGATTGCAGGAAACACATTATACATTTTCCATGGACTTCTTACAGGTCAGAATAGGTCATTGACCTAAAATGAACTAGGTCAACATTTTAAAAAAAGAAAAATACCACCTAACGTAGTATTTCTCGCTTACTCCAATGCAAAACTCAGAACCGTCTTGTATGATTTTGGTCACCATGACCTTCAAAAGGTCAGACAACTTCACTGACCTTAACTGAGCATGTGAAGTTTTGCTTAGAGACAGTTATCTAGGTTATGGGAAGCCCTTTGGAGACCAACCTGGAATTTGACCTTGTTGACCTTATTCTATTCAAAAGTCATGGCCTAGGGACCCCAAATTTTGACCTAAGTGAGTTCACGTACAGGCCAATTGGTGTCTCTAGCTCTCTTAGTTCCTGAGATCTCAGGGATGCGAAACTGACCCCTACCTGAGCGAAGGGTATCTAGCCGGCCACCCGGGCGTGTGTTCAAAATGTAAACATAATTTATTTCACGGTAGCCTCTGGTTTCTGTTCCGGTTACCACGTACAAACAACAATGAAACGAAGAAAACCGCATCCCTTGTTAACAAGTAAACTATATTCGGTGCATTTTTGTGGAGGGATCACCATAAACGTTTTTTTTGTCAACCCTGTGTTCCTCTTGGCAAGGCTTTGGTTACCCCTTGCCTACACAGACAAGCAGATCAAGTTATCTACGTTGGGCGGGTAATTAAATGGCCGTTGGGCCATTTCATACCTAAAGTAGGCAGTTTCCCCGCGGCATTTTTCTGTTGCGATGTGTTGTAAGGGAAGATAATTAGGAAAAAGGTACTGTTGCAAGTGTCGCAATACATGTTTTACATCCCAGTTAGTAGCAATGCTGATTCAGAAATGTGCAACAAAGCAGTCATACCATCAGTTCGCCGTCAGTCATTCGGAGACAGCCGGACCAGGACAGCTGCCACCGACGGCGGACGGGAGCAGGGCTCGGACAAGGAATATATGACAGAAGGACCTCTATTTTGTAGCTTGGTTTTCAAAGGAGATTCTCCAGTTCTATGACTTTTATCACGTGATTTTTGGCAGTTTCAAGCTTCTAAATTTGTTTACGCCTAAAATGTGACAAGTCTTATCTCTTGAAAAGCAGCCAGCGAAAGGAGGGCGCATGCAAAATCTGTTGCACTGTGAGCTATCGATTCACTTCCAAAACTCTCACCAGCCTATGTTCAGGCCATATTTTGGCATCTACCATGTGACGACAGATGCCTCCTCAATGGCCCAAAATGCCTACCCGCTCGTGGAATTTCGGCTCCCCAGGAAAGACAACGTTGAAATGGATGAATAATCTTGGGAGGCTAGGATAGCCTTATTTTCCGAATGGCATAGATGAAGCGGATAGGCAAGAGTGTGCACCGGTGAGAAACAGCTCTAAATGCATACCTAGAATAGCAGTCATTACGTTTGAATAAAGAGCGAAAACCTCCATCTCTACCCCCCACCCCCACCCCACCCCACCCGTTCATCCGGCTTGTTTTCCAGAAAAAGTTCCTGAAGTATGCCCTGAGCTTAGCCCCTCCCCCACTTTTTGAAACGTTCATACGCCTACGGACGTTACAAAAGTGCGAGGTTTGTCTACCAACTGTCATGCCGCTCTGACGCACTCCAATTGCTCAGATATCTTTACAGATTAGCACCAGCGGTTATTTGGTTCATTGAATCCACATATATATATATATATATATATATATATATATATATATATATATATACCCTATGGACGTCACAAAGGTGGTGTGTGTGTGTGTGTGTGTGTGTGTGTGTGTGTGTGTGTGTGTGTGTGTGTGTGTGTGTGTGTGTGTGTGTGTGTGTGTGGTGTGTGTGTGTGTGTGTGTGTGTGTGTGTGTGTGTGTGTGTGTGTGTGTGTGTGTGTGTGTGTGTGTGTGTGTGTGTGTGTGTGTGTGTGTGTGTGTGTGTGTGTGTGTGTGTGTGTGTGTGTGTGTGAGTGTGTGTGTCTACAAACACATAACCGCGTGATGATCGCTGACCCAGGCTACGTCATGTGTTGAAAACCGTTTGGTCTGCTGGAATACAGATTAAGTCGGAGCTATGAGGTGGGAAAAAAGCTAAGCACCTGAACTGAGGTACAAGTCATGTCAGATCACGAGCTGCATCTCATGCAAGCAATGACAATGATGCATCCCCAGGAAGGAAATGTAATGCCGAGTTCATTGGTGCCATCTGCTTCGTCGGATGATGCCTAGCCCAAAACTTATGCACACAAATGATTGGATATGATCAGTTTCTGTCGCAATGCATTATTTTCTGGTCATTTTAACATGGGACCCAACGATCTAAAAAATCTTGAGCCGTTTCATTTTCTTTCAAAACGCTACAAACGTAGCAGAGCCTAGATAAGGGGGGGGGGGGGGGAGGATATGCCTCTGCTTTTCACGGTGCATAAAAAATGTTGACCTCCGTAGGTCACCGCATGTCAGATCGATATTTGTTGTGTGCGTATGTAATGCGTGATGATAGCTTAGCAAGGCAAACTAATGTTCTACAACCGATATCAGTCTGCTTTATTCGAATGTGCGCACCACGTAGTCAAAACCTTAAGCTGAAAAAGTTAAGACACCTAAACAGCTAAACTAAAAAAAGACAGCTAACCTGCAGTACAGGTCATGTCGGGTGACGTGATAACTTCACGCAAACAATTTTGAAACACACATCTTTAGAAAGGAGATGTGGTGTCGAGCTGAGTGGTGCCATTTGCTTGATCGAATAATGCCCAATTGTATCAATATCCAGTTATGACCAGTTTCTGCCGCAATGCATTATTTCCTGGTGACTGTAATATGGGACTCATGGGGGCTTCCATATTACACGGGGCATGACAAACTTTGACTTGTAGAGGTCATCCCATGTCAGATCGATATTTGTTGTGTGCATATGTAACGCGTGATAATTGCCTAACGTGATGACACCTAGCCTTCCGAAACCCACTTCCAGGTCATGGGCCCTCGCCTCTGTAAGAGAAGTGCTACAGCACTATCTACTGGATGCATGAATGTAGCCCAGCTCCGTCGCAAGTTCTATTGTTTTTAACATATACCTCAGTACTGAAATATGCGCATGGCTTACACTGCTTGTTCACGGTTGTGGCCGGTTCGTTTCGCATGGCCTTCAGTCGAATGAGACGGGGCCGTTTCCTAATGACGTCACACCTACGCGAAATGGTAACACCAACGATTATTTTCGATGCCCCATATTTTTGCCAACCTTGGTAAAACTTGTCAGCGTGGGAGCGAGGCGCGAGGATCCCGGGACCGGCGCGTGCTCCGTGCTATCTAGGATAGGTGTGGTTGCTCGTCCGGGTTGGTTGATTGGCGGGTATTGGAGGGTTGTTGGCCGCTGTCAAAAGGAGATCATTTTGTCACAAGTAAGTGAGAAGTGCAAGGACCGCACAAGGGTGCTTTTCTGTCACTCGCCATGTTCTGTGGTCCCGGCGCGGACGCGTTTTTACTGTGTATGGCAGTTGACATTGCATTGCGCTTGATAGTGTTTGGTGTTGTCTGTGTGGGAATGGTCGCGACTGATGTTGGACTGAAAATTATGTGTATTATGCCAAAAATGTCGAAGCGGCAAAATTGCGCCAAGATTTTTGGCGCGTGTACTCCGTACATCCCGGAGTAAATCCAAGTGCCCGAAGATTTGCGCTATGCTGCCACTAATTCAGCCTATGGGAGGCCAGCGTGTCATGATAGGAGCAATATTGCTGTAGTAATTTCACGCACAAACCTCCCCTATTAGTTCAATATTGCTTCGATTAGATAATTCAGTAATTCAGTCTTAACTGAGTTTGACGCACTTTTGCGCCAGGTTCGGCGCATCAGTATCGCTGGCGTTTGGCGCACTGGAGGGACTGTTTGTAAAATGCTTGTGATGTACATCCTCCTTGCATATGGTGCATGCTCCTTGTGTAAAGCGTACATTACAGAACAATATGGGATTTTTTATTTGGATATTCAAGGTTGAAGTATTGACACTAAGTGACCACACAGTTAAAGTGCCTGAAAGTTGAGGTGCTACTATTCATACTGTTGCTTCTAAGGGTTCAAGTACTGAAAAAGGTGTTTTGGGACTGCAGAATGTTATGGGAAACTTCTGAAGAAAAAAGTTTGACCTCTTTATTGTTTGACTTTGATGCTTTCAAGCTTTTTGGATGTGGTCTTTGATGTCTACCTTCCTGAATATTTCATGTAACTTGTTCCCTTATAGTTATATTCTAGAAAATATGTGCCTTTGAAAGGATTCCAATTAAACCACAAAATCAGACCCTACCCAAGCTTTTTCTGGGAGATAGGCTGGTGGATGTATAGCAAAACATAAAGCTTCTGTGATACACCACATGTTTTCTGCATCTTCCTAGCAAGTATGACTAAAATCCAAGCATTCAAAATTAAGCTTTGACCAAACAGGTGGTTTGATGTGTCTGAAAAAATGTCTAAGAACAAAACAAATATGTTTGCATGTATCACTAAAACTTGCATTATACATATTTACACAGATTGTGTGCACTCACACTTTCGTGCTTAAATCCAAAAGATGCTGATTTCATTTGGGACTGGGGCAGATGAGGTAGCTGTTTGCTCCTGACAGATCTACAGGTGGTGTCAGTGGCCAAACACAAGATCAAATGATCTCAGAGGGCAGGACAAACTTTGCCAATCATTATGCCACCTTTAAGAGGCTGTTCCACATTTGGAGATATTGTGACAAACATCAAGTTTGAGTGCATCAGACTGCACCAAATAACAATTTCTCTTATCAGTAAATGTGCTACTCATGGTGTCATTGTGTGATTACATCATAGAGCATGTTTACGGCATTAGAGTTGCTGCTAGAGTTGCTGTGCCAGAGTTGCCAATGCAATGGATGGTGTGACTCACTCAAACTTCTATGTGTGTGCAGTAAGGTGTCAGTGTTGGTTGTGCTGCGGTAGAGGCATGCAGTCATAGCAAAACCTGACTGATTGCTAATTTCCTTCTGTTGTCGGGACAATTTGTGCTGAAGCACCTAAGATATGAATGTGTTAGTGTCTGTGCTTCTCTTAGCTATGAGCTGAGAACACCCAGTGAGGTAGAGTACCCGCATGACATTTGTCATGCTTTGTCATACATTATTTTTGACATAATGCATGTTTTGGTGATGTGCCTGTGAGCTGGGTGTCATTCATTCTGTCATAGGCTGCACAAGTTAACATGTGTTATGCTCAGAAACCAGAGTGTTTTAAGTCTTAAAAAACATGGCTGTGAACCTCAGGAAATGATCATGAAAATGGCTATATCAGCGCAGTACACAAATGTGTTTACACTATTTGCACACTTAGAAATGTTCAGTACACAATGTGCAATCCCCATACAATTGTGGAACAGCTCCTTAAAGGTTTCCCAAAAATGGATTCAGTTGAACCGAAATTTGACCATTGGATGGCGATGTCAGGGCTCACACAAGCTCTCCTTTACAGTGGCTTTGGGTGGGTGCATGCATGTGTGCATGTGTACATACATGCATTCATGCATATGTCAGCTAAATCTAGAATTCCTGGCATTTTTTCTGAATATGTTTTGATGTTTCAGGTTGTTGTAGTGTGAGAGCCTGTTTTCATCATTTTATTAGGTAAGCACAGCTGCCCCCTTATTCTTGTCCATAGAACAGCTCTGCCCATTGTCACATTGGCATTGGGTCCCCACTCTCAGAACTCACATGTCATCTCCACAATCACACAGGTCCATCTATCTGTGCAAACATATTGGGAGCTGTTGGCTATTCTTGGTGCATAACTATTTATTGCATAGTTTGTCATGTGTTAGTGCGCTCGGCGCACTGCGTGTGCCTGCGCGCATGGATGTGCACGGCCATGATAGCACAGATGAAAAGGTGGATCAACGCCGATCTTGTTTCCAGCCCGCGTCAGAGCCAACTCATCCTCAATCGAGCTTGCTCGGCCCTCTGGCTATAAAGGTCGTGTCGCGCGTCAGAATCAACTCGTCCTCGATCGAGCCTGCTCGGCCCTCTGGCCATAGAAGTTGTGTCGTAATGCTTTTTCCGGGCGAGGAGTTTTGGCGAAAAGATGCTTACTGGCACGGTCTCAGTTTTCACAGCGGAGCTCACCGCTCTGTAGTCACTGGTTTGACACATTGGAGGTACGAGGCCGGTGGAGCGTAGATCAACGGTGTGCCCTCCCTGAAAACAACGTATTCCGCGACAACGCCCCTGCCGACGGATAACACCAGACACTGAGGTTCAGCACCAGTGCGGAAACGAGCGGGCGCGAGGCCAATATCGGCATTTTGTAAATAGGTGGCATGCAACTGCCTTTCATTATCTCGGTGATATCTGGCCGTGCGTCGAACACCGCGTGAATTCGAGCCTTGTTGAGCTTTGCGTCTCGCCATCGGTGAAGCTGCCACTCGACAAGTGCCCCGAACAAGGGTACGCGGTCGGTGCAGCGACCACCTATAGTGGCTTGGTTGGGGTTTGTAGCGCTAAGAACGAACGTAGTGACATGTCAGAGGCATCGCTTGGCAAAGGACTTCTGTCAATACGAGTCCCGACTGTGTGGACATGAGGTTGGAAGAGGAGCACCACATGAGGCTATGTAAGTCACGGCCGTCAGGTGGCCGCACACGGTCGTGCTCTTCACAGCGTTCAGAAGTTCAGCTTCAGACATGCTCACCGGCGGTGGAGGACAAGCTGGCATTGCCGCATCACACATGTTCACAGGTGGTTCTGGCGGACTGGATGACGTTCGTATCCGCCTGCCGCAGGCCTCGCACTGAGTGTAGGGCGTCTTGGAGGAGTCTTCCACGCGTTGGTGGCCACGCCACGATATTTGAGGTTTGACGAGACGGCATTTCAGGTGACGCTATGGTACAGTTATGCCCTACCGCCCTGTGCATTTAAGCGATATGTGTTGTGCAACAGATCGCACGACTGTGTCGGAACCGCATCACGTATTTTCACTTATATGGTGGGACTAACTGTGCTGTCAACGTGCTTATACGCAGACATGTCGAAGACAGCAAACAGCCAGTACATACCGATACCGACATTGTCATTGGCGGCGTCCTGGTCGTAGAAAGAGGGAAAGACGGGACGATGGGATATCGAAAGACGGGACGATGGGATATCGAAAGACGGGACGATGGGATATCGAAAGCTGGTCGAGACCGTCAGCACTCGCGTCCGCCGTGTTCGTGACGGCGGTCGGCTCGCTCAGGCGGCGCGTGACCTCATTGGCCCTCGTACCGTACACAACAGTCGCGTGGTGCATTGAGCAATCGTACAGATGGTAACGGGCCTAATGTGGGTGGTGGTAAGGTCCTACTCCGGACTTAATATCAAAATGTTTTAGCAACATGTTAGGCCGAGTCCAGCCTGCGTCTGCCCGATCGAGTGATATGTCCGGTCACCTTCCGGGGCGAGGTGCTCTCACATTCCTCGTGCTGTCTGGTGTGTTTTTGATGGCGGCGTTGCTCGTCTGAGAGGCTGCGGTCGGGATGAGTGGCGATGGTTGGCTTTGTGCTTTGAGCACCAAATGGCGGTGTGCGTGCCACCCGGACGGTGACCGCACGTGCCTGGGGTTGTTTGGTGCTGTGGGCTTAGCGTTTCACCTATACAAAAGAGACCATCTATGGAGATGCATGCTGGGATCTTGTTTGTAGTCAGGTAAGGATCAGCCAATAGACAAACGCTCGCGTAGAAGTGGCCCGAAGTTTCTGATGGATGGTCACATCTGAACAACAGCTGTGGGTCACGATTCGCCGTTCGGCTAATGCAAAGGAGAATAACCAGCATTTCATAGATTCAACATTTACAAAGAATCACATCTCCACACCGCTCTCACACACTCTTCTCCCCAGCTCGAGTATACACCCGTGGAGATGGTGTCTCTGCTCCCGATGTCCCCTTTCCCCCCCTCACTACGATTTAAACCTGAGCTGAGCTACAGAAGATAAAACAGGTCGCCTGCCATGAGGCAGGGGTTATGGCCGACTAGTTGGTGCGACAGCTGACACCCCTGTCGTGACAGATAGTCCCCGCTTCCGTTATCTCGGTGCCCTGCTTTTTCCGTCATCTCGGGTTGCGCCTTTCGCCTGAAAATAACATAATGTGCCTGAGCAGCAGTATCCACTAACTGGCCGTCGCGTTTGTTCCCGGATACGATAACGGATGCCTAGAGGGAGGCTAGAGCACGACCCGTTCTTCAGACTGAAACTGTCGTTGATGACGCGTACGTCAGGACAGCAGTAGTCGAGAGTCGCCATCTGCGAGCTTACTCCGCGCTGGCGATGTACAGCCCCCCTGCCACGTCAGGGTGCCTCTGAAGGCCTCCTGTATGCTGCGCAGCGCGACATTGCTGACTGGCACGCAGGTCCATTGCCCGCTTTCACATAATCGTAATCATGCCCATGTCCTGCACTCATGATGTGGTGGATCAGTCCAGAAGAACGTATTATATATATATATATATATATATATATATATATATATATATATATATATATATAATCAGCCGTGACTTTTATGTGCACTCGTACGTAAAGGAAACGTTTGCGTTTGGTCAGCTTGATGTTTTGTTTGCCTTATGTGCGTGTACTGAGGAAGGCCCGCGGGTGATATATATATATATATATATATATATATATATATATATATATATATATATATATGTATATATATATATATATATGTATATATATATATATACATATATATATATACACACATATACATATGCGTATATACGTTTTGTCTTGTCTAATTCGTTCTTTTATGAGCATTACGTTATTCTTCCTCTCATCTACATTCATATTCATCATGTTGTTCATCCAATTAGCGTTATTTGATATTCTTATAATATTGCAAATTACATGGTCCATATGTTGCACTAAGTGAGAGAGCACCATGCTCAAGCTGAAGGCGCATCTGGTGTCGACATTGACTTTGCACATGGCGCTCGCTCCGGGCCTAGCCGGCAACTAGCCCTGGGTCTGACCAGCGTCTCGCTCCGAGCCTGGAGAACCTCTCGCTCCGGGCCTAGACGACAACTAGCCCTGGGTCTGACCAGCGTCGCGCTCCGGGCCTGGGCGGCATCTAGCCCTGGGTCTGGCCAGCACCTCGCTCCGGGCCTGGACGGCAGCTAACCCTGGGTCTGACCAGCGTCTCGCTCCGGGCCTGGACGGCAACTAGCCTTGGGTCTGACCAGCGTCTCGCTCCGGGCCGGGACGGCAACCAGCCCTGGGTCTGACCAGTGTCTCGCTCCGGGTGGATGGCGTCTCGCTCCGGGCCGGGACGGCAACCAGCCCTGGGTCTGACCAGTGTCTCGCTCCGGGTGGATGGCGTCTCGCTCCGGGCCTGGACGGCAACCAGCCCTGGGTCTGACCAGTGTCTCGCTCCGGGTGGATGGCGTCTCGCTCCGGGCCTGGACGGCAACCAGCCCTGGGTTCTGACCAGTGTCTCGCTCCGGGTGGATGGCGTCTCGCTCCGGGCCGGGACGGCAACCAGCCCTGGGTCTGACCAGTGTCTCGCTCCGGGCCTGGACGGCGTCTGTCCTCGGGCCCGGACGTCGTCTCGCTTCGGACCTGGACGGCACCTCGCTCCGGGCCTAACCGGCGTCCCGCTCCGCACCTGGACGACATGACGGCATCTCGCTTGAGACGTGGACCGCGTCTCGCCCTGGCCCTGACCGGCGTCTCGCTCCGGATCTGGACTGCGTCTCGCCCCAGGCCTGGACTGCATCCCGCTCCAGGACAGGACGGCGTCTCGCTCCACACCTGGACGACAGGACGGCGTCTCGCTTCAGACCTGGACCGCGTCTCGCCCCGGGCCTGAGCGGCGTCTCGCTCCGGAGCTGGACTGCGTCTCGGCCCGGGACAGGACGCCCGTCCTGCTGCCTGCCTACTCTCAGCTTGCAGGCACCCGAGCACCCGCAAGCGCGCCCCGCCAGCTTGAACGCGTGTGCCACCAGCTGGAGGTGGCGGTCACCGGTCATCGCTCTGGACGAGAACTAGGAGCAAGCCTCCGTGAAGGAGTGGGTCTCCATCATTTCCTGGCGAAGGACTGGCTCCTGACTTGCACGATGTGTTTGGGTGCTGGCAGGCTTCCTGATCCGAACTGGAATCGTGGTATTATCACTTGTGAACATTTTTCTATGCTTGCTCTTGCACAGATGGCAGCGATGGAAGGCTCATCTGATGTATGGCACCTAGATGGCCCGCAGTTAATGAGAGGGTGGAAGGCTTTCCACTCCGCACTCTTACCTGTTTACGATACTTGCGCCTAATTGTGAATAGCCATCATAGCTGGTGGCCCTCATCGGGTATGGTTTCATCAGCCAGGTTAGCAATGAGTGAGCGGGGTCGCGAAGCAGGAGGAGATTTACAGAAGAAAACCCACCGGTGACTGCTAGCGGGCCTTACCTTGCCTGCCAGGCCTTACCCCGCTTGCCAGGCCTCCTCTCACTTACTGGGCCTTACCCCGCTTGCTAGGCCTCCCCTTACTTACTGGGCCTTACCTTACTTGCCGGGGCTTACCTTGCCTGCCAGGCCTCGTCTTACTTGCCGGACCTTACCGTACTTGCCAGGCCTTACTATAAAGTGAGAAAACCGCAGCAG